GCAATTGCTTTTCTCAGATGAAAAATTGTACTTTTAGATTCAGTAAAATAAAACAATTAATTCAATTTGTACACCAAACATGTTCAGAAACATCAAAGTCCTACCTAACAGAGACAGGTCCCCTGCTTTTTATGGATGCGCATCCTAGCAGTAACTTAATGAAATACAGCTGATAGAGGAGCCCCAATCAATCACTTAGTCAAAAGGCCAAGAACTTCCTGCAAATACTGTCCAACATGAGAAGGTCAGACAGGCAGCACAACACACTGTAATTTTCAAGAGAGCTGAAAAACAGACTCTATTCCTTCATGACAAATTTTATTTGAAATACTAGATTTCATAGATTTCATACTGAAATACTCATAAGTGAAGGACTTGAAGCTTCCTGAAATAATCTATGAATTTACTATATAGTCTAGGTAGTGCTCAAGTGATGTTGTAGCTGTAATGGTCCAAGAAATATACAAGAGGCAAGGATTTTTGTGGATGCTGTCTTTTATTGGACTCACTGCATGGTTGGGATAGATTCAGACAAACTTTTATTGCATGGTATGCTTCAAGTCTGAAAGAAAAGTGGGAATAGCTTGAGTTAAGTCTATACCAGGGGTGGGCAAAGCTGTGATCAGCTTCAGAGATGTGCAGGCACTGGATTGCAGCTCTTCCCTGGCTCTGGACCACACTATCACTGCTACAAGATCCCAGCCCTGGCTGTAGAGCAGCTCCCTGACCAGCCATGTGCCCTGCTAGTGCTGCTGGGGCTAGTTTCCATGGAAACCCCAGCCCTGCACTGTCATGGCACTGCTGCTGCTGGGGTCTTCAAGTGCACCAGTGCACCCCCATCCTGTATCCACCCCTGATTATGTACATATCTTGGGTTAATTCAATAGAAAACTGCCTAAGAAGACAGACAATAGCCCAGATAAGAGCTCTTCAGCAAAGACTCTGGGCTTTTAGCTCTGATATGCTATCTCAAGTTTCCTGATAGGGCATATACGTTGATTTGTCTACAGGCAGTCCTTGGACTTATGACACAATTGGTTCCTGAAAACCGCATCTTAAGTCAAAACATTGTAACTTGGAAGCAATTTTCTCATATAAAACAAAGTTATAAATGGGGGATTGGTTCCTGAACCAAGGCCTGATACCCTATTTTCACCAAAAATAACCCAGAATTTTGTACTCAATCAATTATAGATGAGTAATATAGCTACGTTAATATATTTATATCGTAAATAGCAATCATATTGATTTGGAAGGACTTCTTTGAGGTGACTTTGCTGGATTTTTTGAAAGGCTCTTGGTTGGACTGGAGCCTTGGTTCTTGGCTGGGCTCTTCTCAGGAGTCTTGGCTGCAGGTTTTTCTGGAGCCTTGTCTGCTTTCTTAAAGAAAGTGTCCAAGGAAGTTTGGACAGATGTTCTCCAGGAAGATGGGTGACACAGCAAACTTGTTCACTGTCGTGGCGTCGCATCAGATCAAGCATTGTAAAGTAAAAACTGATGTCATAAAGTTGAAACAGGGTGTCAATTTAGAAACATTGTAAGTGCGAAACGTTGTAACTCAAAACATTGTAAGTCGAGGACTGCCTGTACACTCAAGGGATGATAGGAGAACAAAGAATTTTGGGGTGGATGAAAGGAAGAGGAAGGATGAGAGAGTCAGTAGCCCAGTTGTATTGCCAAGTGGACTCAGAGAATCTGTGAGGTACTGCATAGGCATTTCTTTTCCCCCTTACTTCTTTGATGAGGTATTTAATCTGAGTCACAGTCCAGTCTACCATAGCTGTACTCATTTAACCATGTAATGCACATTTCTAATAATACTAATGTCGATATATTTTAAGCAATACAAAGTAAATCTAACAATCCAAAATAAATCCAGAATGGACTGGAACTGGTGATTGAAAAGTGAAATGATCTAAATACATTTATTTTAGTTTCTTAAATTTTCAGCTCAATAAAAGCAAATTGGATCTTTTTGTGTGTGTTTTAGTACTTTAAATAATGCAAACTTTAGTAACTAGCAAGTCACTACAAATTTTTACTTACACTCCAACTCCCTTTTTGCCACCGATAGGATATTTGGTGTATTAATTTACCACTTAGATATCTCTTTGTTGAATGTGGAGTCTTATATTGAATAAGATACTCATTTGCAGCCTCTTGGAATGTGATTGTTACATTAAATGGTTTCTCAGGTTTTACTGTAAAAGACAGTAAGACAAGTTGCTGTGTTATACATTCATGCTGATCTTAACGCAGAACTTCCTAATAAATTCAATCCATTCTTTAAAAAGACTTACTAAAATATCTCTAGAGTGACCTAATTTGCTCCAGGAACCATTCCAGCTCACAGCCCTCCTCTCAGTATTTCCTACTTAAGTATTTCCTATTTCCCTGCTCAATATGTTGGCTACTGTGAATCCCATTCTTAGGCATCTATCTAACTATGTGAGAGGTAAGGTTTGGTAGACGATAGCTTTTATAGTATTCATTGTTTAGGTGGCTTAGGATGTTGATATAACCCTTGCTCACTATGGCCATACTAGACTTTAGGAGAAAATGGTCATCTACTATCAGCTCTATACTACTTGCCAAGTCCATTTGATGTCCTCTACATCTAGGGCTGGATTAGAAATACACATAGGAAGATAAGTAAGCTGCCTACTATAAATGTAGTTTCATTATATCTAGTTTTGAGGCAGGGGAACTTCACATTTTTTCTATCTAGGGCCATAAATTATCTTCACTCAGCCTTGTCTTGATCTTCCCCTCAAACAGTCATCATTTCCTCCATCTCATCTGGATTGAACCTTGGATTTTGCAGTTCATTTTTCTTCAGTCATTTACATTGCTTAATACTGTGCAAGGTGTTTAGCATCTTACCAATACTGATTACTTTCAGACTACTGCAGTACTTTCTTTTTGACTCGAGGATGACACAAACACGTCTAGGCAGGAGGATTTGGGAAAACTCCAAAGAATATGTGCTTTCCTGCTTCTTCATTTGTGAACACTTCTCTATTCTTTCTTCACTGACACTGTTGAGTCAATATAAAACAAATTTACTTTCTTATTAGTCTTAATGTAAAACATTTTAGTAAAGGTAACTCCCTATCTCTATGTGAGGTTGGATTTTCAAGTTCTTTTCCAGTACATCTTGCAAATATTAACTAATGGATGAAACACTCACTAAGACACGGTCCCTTTGAAACCAGTGCATTGACTCCCAACAGTGAGTAATGTTATAATACCTGTTTGAATAATCAGTTCCTTTGATACACGGACAGCTCTTATGAAAGGCCAGATTCTGATATCTTTGCTTATATTGACTTCAGTGAAACTGCGTGTGGAGCCAAGTATCATGTAAATAATAAAAAACCTAGTTGTAGTTTAGTAATGTTCATGTGTAGGAACCTACCAAAATTTTGCAGGCCAATCACAGGGCTGGCTGCCATGTTTGCAGGATTATCCTGGTGGGGCCCCCCATGCCTCTGACTGGCCAAGGGGCCCCCGTGGCCCTGCCCCTCAATGCTGATTGGCTGAGAAGGATGCCCATCATATGGCCCCGTCCCTTGGCCCTCTCCCAACAGGCTGCAAGGCTGGGCCATAGCAGCAATGAGGACTGCTGGCTCTCACTGGGGAGCCAGCATTTTATTTTTAGTAAGTTTTTTTTTTTAATTTTGCGGATTTTTGTGGTTTCTGTGAAATCTGTGTAATCAGATTTAATAGTTGCTAATCATGTGGTATCACTATTAAAGCATGGTAGGAGTTATAAAGCTGAGTAAGAAAATGGAAGAGAGATTTTGTATGCTAATAAGAGATGTTTGGGCTAAAGTAGCTGTGTGTTTTTAAACTTGATCTTAGTATTACAGTTTTCAAGTGCAGTACAAATGTATCCCAAAAGGGTCTGCTCTGGGTACCACTGCAACCAAGACAAAACCTTCACTGGTTTCAGCAGAGGCAGGATGAATGAATGAATGAATGAATGAATGAATGGAGAGAGAGGGAAAAATTCAATGGCAATATTTCAAGGACCGAGGAACTTCCCTATACTCTTCCCTCCAAATCACCCATGTTATATGAATTCTAGAACAGTTTTAATCTGAAACCCAAAAAGGCACCAACTTTCTAACTAAAATAAGGTGGAAAAGCTATCAGGATAGCTGGGTGCAAACCCCTCTTATAGCTGGCCGTTACTGCACTTTTGGTTTTGGGAAAAACAAGGCAAAGGACAAAGCAAAAGTAGGCCACAGAATTAAAATCTGAACCAATTCAGAGAGGTGCCTTTGTGATAAAACAGAATTGAAAATGTTACCTGTCCCTGTCTCTCGATCAGCAATTTGCTTGATAACTGTACAGGTCTTTATAAATAATATTTATTCTAGTGCATGCTTTCATGGAAAGGAGATGACTAATTAATATATATCTCAATTTAAATAATGGAGCATCCAGGTCACCCTTTTTAGCCTCACATACCCCTATTTTAGTAAACGAATTATACTCGGAGTAAATGGCAAAGCTCGCAGTCATTTTAGTGGGCCCAGCTGCAGTGGGTTCAGCTGCAAGCCTCCATCAGGACAATGCAGAGTCACTGCAGTCCATGGTCCTCATTGGGAGCCATTCAGTGCTACGCATTGATGGCCATACACTTGGTGGTGCATGCTTACCTGCCTCTAATGAAACATTTCCTGTCAAAACCTTTTGCTGTGGAAAACTGTCTTTGATGCATTGCAATGTGCAGAAAGTATCTGCTTGCTTTGGCAAATGTTAACTTTTCATCTGAAAAAAATGGTTTTTCATCCTAACATTTGGGGAAATCCTTTCCTTTTTGTATACTTTTTCTGTAGCAAAGAAAAACCATTTTCCAGCAAGCTCTACATCCTGCACAGCTGGACAGCTCTGCTGGTTGGTGCGTGGGACAGAGGAGGGCACAGAGATATATTCCCCAGTACTCCCCTCTTTGAGCTATCTGTGCCCTGGGGCCATAGGGAGGGAGTACTACAGGGGTGGGTAAAGTCTAGCCCGTAGTCCAGATAGGGCCTATGTAGACTCCATTTCCCAGCAGACCCTGCCCACGTCGTTGCAGTCAGTTTCCACAGAGACTCCAGAAGTGGTGGTGCCGTCACAGCATGGGGCCAGGGTTTCAATGGAGACCAGCCCCAGCAATGCTGGCAGGGCATGCAGCTGAGCGGGGAGCTGCTCTGGGGCTGGGATCTTGCAGTGGTGATGGTGTGGTCCGGAAGCAAGGCAGAGCTGCAATCCACTGCCCACACACCCTGGGCAGGGGCACGTGAGCAGTGGATTGCTGCTCTGCCCCGGCTCCAGACCACACTGTCACCTCTGCAAGATCCCAGGTCCAGCCCCAGAGCAGCTCCCTGCCCAGCCACATGCCCTGCCAGTGCTGCTGGGGCTGGTCTCCATGGAAACCTTAGCCCTGCGTTGTCATGGCACTGCCGCTCCTGGGGTCTCCATGGTAACCAGCCTCAGCAACAGAGGCAGGGGATGCTAGTAGATGGAGTCTGGTCACTGGACCAGGGCTCCCATGAGAACAGGGACTGTAGGTGTGGCTGGCAAAGAAAGAGGAAACTCTCTGTCCAGGGATTCCCATCCTTGCAACTCAGAACTGGAACAGCAGAAATGCCAGCTGTCTGTCGGTCTGCAGGGAGCAAAATCAGATCCATTATGTACATCACCAGTGATTTGCTTGCTTTTATACGTCCTTCCAATTCTGATTGTTCCTATTTGGGGTGCTGCTTCTGCTCCAAACCAGCCCTATTATTTTTGGAATAATATGTTAAAAATTGGAATGAAAGTGACAGCTTTGACCACTTCCTGTTAAATGCTGAAGAGAAAACCTACAGTGGTTTTGAAATCTCCATCACTTGAAGTTTTTAAGGGAAAGTTAGACAAACACTTGTCTGGGATAGTTTTGGCAGAAATAAGCCAGGGTTTGGTCTGCATGACATCCTGAGGCCCCTTCCAGCCCCCCCCCCGCCCCTTTTTTTAAAATTCTATGACTCCATCCATGTTCCCTAACCTGTAACAAAACAATCGCTTACTGATGTAATGCCTGACTATTAATGTGGCAGCTGATATGCACATAGCCACTTACCATGAAACAATTTGAAAGTTAGTGTTATTAAGACTTGGCTCTGAAAAGCTGCAAATTAAGGCATGAAGGGAAGAGACAATTTCCAGCTGGCTGAAACAATCAATCTCAGGGTTGTCTAGTTCGTCATCTCCAAAGGTCCCTAAGGAAAGATATGCAGAATATTAATGAAAGGAATTAATATATTAACACAGGCCCACAGTAAGAGGATTTTTTCCACAGAAGCTGATTAAAAGAAAGAGCACCAACATTTCAGTTAGGTATATGGTTTTGAAGAAAAGAATATGTATTTTTAATGGTGTCCTCCTGCACCTGGATGGTTTCCATTCCCTGTCAGACTCATGGAATTAAATGCACATATGGTAGTTCATATGAGAACTAGAAAGTATCCTCTAAGAGCTAGCTTATTCTTTTAGATCGAGTAAGTTTCTGGTGTTGATGTGTTTGCTGTCAGACATGATATAAAGGAATATTTATGTGAACTTGGAGGTCCTGTAAGTATAGACTTCCCATAGACTAATACAATGCAGACATTTTGTGGGACTGCAGTATATAGTTTTACTTACCATGAATTAGAGGTGACCATATTCTTTAGAGGTAGATGAATATTGGCTTTAAGAAGCATGTGTGAACCTTATACCAAGAGAAGAATAGTAACTAATTTAGGATGAATTAATCTACAAATGGGAACTAGGAATGGAAACTAACTTAAGAAAGTGATCTAAACACTCAAGAGTTTTCCAAAATAGATATTTCCAGTAGAAATATTACTTCTAGATTCAAAGGTCTGCTATTTCATGGCCTGTTAGGGATAGAAGAAAGAGATACTGCTGGCAAACCAAAACCCAGTATCAACCTCCAGGCCTAAATCATAGTTTCATAGTTTCATAGTTGGTAGGGTCGGAAGGGACCTGAAAAGGAATACAAACATGAAAAGGAATTTGATTGGCATCCTATAAATTGACTCAGATATTCATAGCACAATATTGTTTAAGAAGGTTACAACTGCAATAAAAGAGGAGTTTCTGGTCAAGACCACAGGCTTGTCTACTAGAGTTATTAGAGCTCTAGAGTTACTAGAGCTACTCATGCTTCAAACTGCAATACTTAGCACTGGAAGTAACCCCTTATTATTCTGGTATAGCACATCAAAACTGGAGGACCACACCACTGCCACTGACTGTAGCTGCATGGGTACAAATAGCACCCGTATGCATACACCTCTAGATAGCTGAGAATTTCAGTGCAGCAGCTCTCTGCTCAGTGCCTTCTGCTTCCCCAAACTCCCATTCATCCCCTCATATCTCTAATGTGAAATGGAACCCATGCTTGTGCTCTGCTCTCTGATTCGTGACAAGGGATAGAAAACGAAGGTAACATTTTTAGAGTTCTCATTTAGCAGTTCTTTGCCCTGTTGCACATTTCTGTCAAATGTCATAAATGAGGCTCAGCAGGGAAAGCTGAATTTTTTGTCATACTACAGTTTCTTGCAAGTTGTGTCTTGATGACTCATTCTAACAATTGCATTTTGACAGCAGGGGATAGCAACTCACATCCAAAGCTCCTGTAGGCAGGACCAATGATAGTGAAATAAGAGGAGGATGTCACTTTACCCTGGCTTCATGAAATCCCACTTGTCATGGCAAACCAGCGGTGAAGGGTGAGATCATGACAGGCTCTTCAGTAGGTCTGCAAGGGAAGAATCCCAGGAGCTTCTTATCCTCATCCCCTGCTAATGAACTAGCTACAAAGTGGGTAGGAAGAACAGACCCTGTTCTGTGAGTGTTAGTTTAAAAGCAAGTATGTACGACCTGCTGGTTCCCTACTATATTCTGGAAGAGATGGGCATGATGAATTGCACCTGCATGTCAGGAAGCTACTAACAGCTTCTCCAAGTCCTGTAGTTGGTTCCCTCCTTTTTGATTCTCAGCCATTCCTCTCTGCTTGTCTTGGGGAACTTGTAAAGAGCCATGATTCCTGCCCAAGCAATGTGGGGTATATGCCTGGAATCCCCCTACCCAGGGGCAAATAACACAGGGCTGTGTCACTATCACTGATTTGCCATTGCTAGAATTGATTCACTGATCATGGTTAAATTGTTTGCATTAAAGCTGATCTCATAACCTGCCTTGTCACAGGCAAATTATGCTAGATACAACATAAACCAATTCCCATCCAACAGAGAATACGTTATGATGAAATCAAGACTCAGCCAGTGGTTTCAGAGTTGAGGGAATGCGGGGGAGGAAACATAGAGATAAGAGGATTTAGGGTTATTTTAAAATAGAGATAAGTAACAGCAATGATTTTCCTAGCCATTGTGAGTTGTGGGCATCAAGGCAGAAGTGCATCTTGAGGGGAGATTAGAGGGAGAACCTGGCAGCAGTTTGAGAAGGACACTGATAACAAGGGGACGTGCATCCATGGAAGCAGCAGCCCAGGGGAAAGCTGCAACTGCACTCCCAGCAGAGCTCAGGAAGTACGGGTGTTTGTATTCGAGGTGGCATCAAACACTCAGTGGTTTGAGTCTGTTTTTGGGGAGGTTCAGATTTACACCTAAAGCTAAGACTGTAGAAGCTTGTTCTTGTGGGTATCTGGGTGCCAGGAAGCTATGAATTGCTACTTTATCATAGTAAAAACCAGTTTCAACTTTGTGTTGTGTTTACTACAGAATAAACTAACTTCCTGTATGAGGAGGAGAAAAATGGGACCTGAGGACATCCAGTGTCCGCTCTTTACCTTGCATTTAAAGTGGGATGCAGGTTACAGGGAATTTTCTTTTAAGGGGGAAAGAGGAGATTTTTTCTTACTAAAAATGAAATATTCTGCCCGGCAGTTCTAACAGGCAAGTGAGTTCGATGCAGGTGAACAATGTGGAGTTGGAGCCCTTGAAGAATGATGCTCATTTTAATCTATAGGAAAGGTACAGCATGAAGAGCAGCAGTTCAGACTTCCCCCAGGCTGCTCTGCTTCAACTATGAATGGTGAGGACCACTGCTAGAGGTGAGAGGCATGCTACTGTGTTGTTATTTGTGTTAGACATGTGCCCTAGAAGCCTTGATTCAAGATAAGGGCTCTATGGCTCTAGATCAGTGGTTTTTCAACCCGTGGTCCACGGACCTCTGGGGGTCCACAAACTATGTCTAAGGGGCCCACAAAAGATGACTTTGATCAATCAAAAGTATGTGAACACCCACACTTACAAATCAAAGGGGTCCACACCTCTATTTGAAAATGTTTAGAGGTCTGCAAATGAAAAAAGGTTGGAAACCACTGTTCCAGATAGTCTATAAACATAATGAGAGAACTATGCTCTGATGGACTTGCAGTGTAAATAAAACAGGTAGGTGAAACAAACCACCAGGTATGGAAGAGAGAAGAAAAGTTAACAGCAACAAATAGCACAGACTTTAGGACAGATTGCTACATTCAACGGAGGAACCAAGAATTGACTGGGCATAGAAAACATCTGCTATGAACTGAACTATTCCACCTACAGATCAGGGTAGCAATGGTGAGACTGTCCATGAAGTCTGCCTATTAGGAACTGAATTAATGCCATCATATTTATTTCACATAAACGATTTCAATCAGTATTGCTTCAGACTTGACACGAGTAAAATCATAGAGTCATAGGAAAGTAGGGCTGGAAGGGACCTTCAGATGTCATCTAGACCAACCCCCCTGCCTGAAGCAGGATCATACCTATTTAAACCATCCTGTACTAATACATTGTCTAACCTATTAGCAAAACTACACTAGTCAACACCCAAAAGTTCTGAGGAAGGCGAAACCTGCCCTTCACATATACACGCACCAGCAGAAGGGGAAACTTTTTCTTCCCAGCCCTTGCCACAGACACGTTAAGTCATATATGACTACAGACTATGCAGAATGTCATATAGTAAGCACTTTCAAGATTTCCAATTCAATTTTTTGTAAATAATTTGTAAATAATTTTCTATCCACAATTCTGGTTACATAGAATTAGCATTCAAACTGTTACAGATTAATACTGCTGTTTTTTATTTATATAGTGACATTGCCAGATGTTTTATGTATATAAAGGTGTTGGCATATTATATATGAATCCACAGACTGCATCTGATTCATAAATATTTTTCGTATGTAAACATTCTCTTGCCATCTACTAACCATTTACTGGAAAGGGGCTCATAAACAGAGGCGTCAAATGCTAGAAAAGTTGTAAATCAAAATCCATCCTGCTGTCCTTGAGAAATCATACAAGCTTCTTTGTTTAGCATTTGACCCGACTGTTTAATGTTTAACTAGCAAAGGAACCCTTTGGTTGTTAAACCAGTATTAAAGTTGAAACAGGTCTTTTGCACTGTCTGACGTTGAACTTCTCACACTGTGAATATGTTTCATGACTCAGAACAAACAGTATTCTACCAGTAAAAATACAATTAAAGTAACCTAGGATTATCATTACATGTGCAATTTTAAAAGCATTTACAAGTACCATCTTATACAAATTAACATTGTGTTTTGGTATCTGGTATGGGCTTATATATATATAATATGGTTATTTGCTTCTTTCTATCTAACCAGAATGGTATACCCTTCTTTGTTTGCCCTGGATTTTCTGACCCTTATAAATAGCTCACAAACAAGAAAGTGGTTGCAGGGACTCCAACATGGTTTCTCCCATGAGTAACAACTGTTTTGGGGAGTAAAACTTGGCAGGATCACAACTCTTTTTCCAGGTCTTAGGTATTTTAAACTAATGGGTTTATCCATATTTCCCTAAACTCAGTCAACAGGTAACTCTGACACACTTGGCTCAAATCTATTTATACTGCATGCTCTTCAGGGCACAGGGTTTTTTACTCTCTCCTGTGTGTACAGTGCCCAGCACAACGGGGTTCCAGTCCTGATAGGGCCTTTTGGCATTACCACAGTATAAATATTTGCAGAGCCTTACACACAGTTGAACTTCCTACATTAAAATCAATGGGATTATCTACAAAACACAATTAAGCAAAGCCAGAACAGTTTGACAGGATCAGGGATTAAAATTGCCTTGGAAGTGATCATCATTGCCACAGATAAGGACACCTATTTCATGTAGTCTTTTTGGTATTACTGCTACCCGAGAATGGACAACATATTGAGAGATTATCTGGAGAAATCTGTAATTAAAATAATGTTGATGTGGGTTGGTCCAGTCTCATAGGAAGAGGACCACTGAAGTCACCAGTTCTGTCCAACCATCACTGCTACCCCCACATCAATGTTACTTCCCCACCAACCTCATATCTGTTCTCTTCCTCATGTACCACATCGGTCCTACTCCCTCCCTCAAGCAAAACCTCTGTTTCTCCTGCAGCTTCTGGGTTCTTCATCTCTCTCTCAGGCTGGGTGTTGCAAGGAGAGAAAGTTGGGGGTGGAGGGGAAAGCAGGGGAAGGAGCCACTTTATTGCTCATTGGGGTGATGGGGAAGACCTTCTTGAGCTGCTCCTTCCTCCCCTCCCCTGTCTCAGGACAAGGGTATTGGTTCCTCAGGAGGAGAGAAGAATTTTGTTTGCTCTGTTTGCTTTCTGAAGTAGCTCAGATTGGCTGCTCTTCCTCAGCAGATGGAGAAGGTGGAGGGTGGTCAATTGTGGTAAATATTCCTCAGGCAGGGCTAAAATTCACAAGGGCTGGAGCTGTAAGTACCATGACAGACCAGTGCCAGCCCTGGCCAAACTTGCCTGACTTAAAGAATTGAGAAAACTGGCAACACTGAGTAAGGGTTGCAAGGATCTGTTTCTCCAGCTAAAGAGGTGCTCCACCTTGCTGTTCTCAAAGTCAATGGCAAAACCCTTTTAACTCAATAACGGGTTCAATAATGTGTCAGAGATGCGTGGTCCCAATGATTTCAAATGCATTGACTTTAACTTTAAAAGATTAATGTTGACTTCAGAGGAACCCTTCACCTAAATAAGGTTTGCAGGTTCTTTGATCACTCGCAATTCTAAAAACAGAAGAAAATAGAACATATGCATCAGAATTCCTTTGAGGTTCTGGAAACCATCGTGTACTCTATATTCTTCTGGCTTGCAAAGCTGCCACACACTACAGCTTTGCTCTTCTATTATAAATAGAATTCTTTCAAGCCAGAGAGAAACAGAAGGAGCTAACAGAATTATAACTAAAAGATAATGTAGGTACATGGTAACTGCCTAATTATTAAAAAACAGAAACTGTACCCTCCAAGTGTCACTCACACTATAATGACCTATATAGTCACTCACACTATAATATCTATTACCCTAAATGACTGGTAATTAAAAGAACAGCCATATATCAGTAGTCTTTTAATGTGACTTCTTATATGAGTAAAGATTATGGCATATGAGTAAAGAATATGGCATATGTGACTTCTTATAGGGTAAAGATTATGAGACAGGTATTCAGGATTCGGCTCCAAGGGTTACCAAAAGAATCTAATCTTGGAGTTCTACGTATGGCAAAATTCTTGCTGTCAAGGGAATTTTTTCCTGAATGGAGATTTAGAATGAGGCATCTTCCTGCTGTCAAGGGAATTTTTAATAAAAATGTGAGCATTCATCTGCTATCAAACTATACAGCTATACAACTATACAGTTGGTTCAATTAAAGATATACAAAAGAACCTTGTGTACATTTTGTGGACCATCATGACTATACTGAAACTCTAATCTCACTACAAATAAAGTCATGCAGTTCATAATAATTTACGGACTTAGAGTTGTTATGGAGCCTACTGTCTATGAGTGACAAACAGCCAAACATTTGTGGTCCTCTCTTACTGATTTCTAGGAGTCCCGTATTTAAATGTTACTGTGACCACACGAAGAGTGGAACAGAGAAAGCCCCTTATACCGTGGAGTCACTCCCTGCCAGAGATAACTCATACTGGGTGTTCAGAAATATCCTTCTAAAAAGGAACCTGCTTACACTGGAGCCGAGCAGGTTGGACTGGGTATGTACATAGTAGGTTGGCTCTGTTGCTTCATACCCAAACTACAGGAAACCATTTTCTCTTGACAAGGTTGCCTACAGAGTTTATAAAACAAAACATAATATAAAATATACCAGAACCAAATGATTCTTCACTTACAAGCCTTAAATAATCACCGTTCTTTTCACAAAAGATAGATATAATGCTAAAGGCGAAATGGGTCCTGTGTTCCTTCTTCACGCCACATTTTTGGTGATTTAATAAGATTTTGGCATATGCAGGAAAGGCAAGTTTGGAAATAAGAGCAGATCCATATCTGTATAAATAACACATCGGCATCACACATGTCTCATGACTAGGGAAGAGGCCAGGCAAACCTAAAGCCTAAAGTTCTAATAACTCCCATGTAAAACAATTCCAGTAAAGGCACTTCCAAAAACCGTGCTTTCAAGATTATTCATGATTGTACACACAAACATAAATGACTCACCATCCCCATCTGCCGAGGTACAACAACTCTCTCCAGAAGCAGTATGAAGTAAAAAGAGTAAAATACTAAATGCTGCACTTGTCCGTGTCATCCTGAGCATACTTCATGTGTGCTCTGTGTGAGTGTGTGATATGCTTGCTCTCTTACTTTATACTCAGCCTGCAGCAGAAACCTACTGCTCTGATAAAGCAACCACAGACAGGGGGAAGTGTAAACACGTTGAGAAGGATGACAAGTGGCAAAGAGCAAACCGGGAAGCGAGAGAAGTATTTGTGGAACTTATATTTCAAAACGTGCCAAACAAAAAGCCCCTGAATTCATTGGAAGGACTCCTACTGACTTCAGTGGATTCAAGAGCCCATTTCTGTTCCCACAGATATCAATGGAATTTTTGCTAGTGACTTCAGTGAAAGCAAGATACAGCTCTTATGGAAAATGCCTTAAAGCCTATGAAGACCACAAAGCTGGGAACTATATTCTATGCTCAATTATAGCTTTGTGACTTTCATAGAATCCTAGAAAATTAGGACTGGAAGGGACCTGAGGAGGTCATCTAGTCCAACCCCCTGCACAAAGCAGGACCACCCCCAACTAGATCATCCCAGGCAAAGCTTTGTCTAGCCAGGCCTTAAAAACCTCTAAGGATGGCAATTACACCACCTCTCCAGGGTAACCTGTTCCACTGCTTCAACACCTTGCTAGTGAGAAAATTCTTCTTAATGTCTAACCTAAGCTTCCCTTGCTGCAACTTGAGACCAGTGCTCCTTGATCTGTCACCTGCCACCACTGAGAACAGTCCAGCTCCATCCTCTTTGGAACCACCCTTCAGGGGATTGAAGGCTACTATCCAATCTCCCCTCATTCTTCTCCTCTAGACTAAATAAGCCCAGTTCCCTCAGCTGGACACAGTACTCCAAATGTGGCCTCACCAGTGCTGAATAATTACTTCCCTCAATCTGCTGGCAACACTTCTACTAATGCAGCCCAGTATGCTGTTAGCCTTTTTGGCAACAAGGGCATACTGGTGACTCATATCCACCTTATTGCCTACTGTAACCCACAGGCCCCTTTCTGCAGAGCTGCTGCTTAGCCAGTTGGTCCTAAGTCTTTAGTGGTGCATGGGTGCCTCTGTGGTGATATATGGGAGGGAGAATGTACAAAGTGCCCTGAGATCTTCCATATGAAAAATGTTATATATGACTGCCATTATTCATTCTTTAATCACTAATACTTTAATCATTAATACTTTAATCCTTAGCACTATACTAGAAGCAGATAAAGAGGCTATGCTCCAAAGAGATTACAATGTAAAAGGCAAATCCTGCAACGGATGACTCACACTATCACTTTGTGTGCAACCAGAGCTTCTTGCAGTTTGCAAGATCAGGACCTAGAAGACAGGTACAAATAAAGTAAGATGAAGGGAGATGCAGAGGAGGTGTTACACGTTTCCTCTGTCTCTTTCTGTATCTCCAACCCCCGCTGCACCAACACACACCAAAATTGCATAGGACTATATCAGTATCGACTGATGTGGGCTAGTGTTTGTGAGCAGGAGTTTGAAAAGAAGAGTGAAGTCCTGCCACAATGAGATTGGAAGCAGTTAGATAGCTCTCAGCTGGTAGCGGTGGAAGGAAACAAAGTGTGTGGAGCAACTGACATCACTGGCAGAGCAAAAGGGACAAGAAGACAAAGTAAAAAACAAATCCAGTGGTAGGCTTGGCTGGAGCTGTCCAGGGGCCCCTGAAGCTGCAAGGAAGGCGATCAAATTAGTGCCAAATATCCATGACAAGAGGCATAATGATGAGGCAGGTGCCTGGGGCACCTGCCACACGTGGGGCAGAGGTGACTTCTGGTTACCATCACTCTACCAGCGCAATTGTGCTGCTGTGATAGAGCTGTTATTTTCCAACCCTCCTGCCACAAAGTTGGTGCCTGGGGCGACTGCCCTGGTTGCCCTGCCTTGGTTACATTGCTGTTCACAATGAATTCGTCTGTCTCAAGTCTGTTGCACGGAGAAGTGGGCTTAGCAGTCAGATCAGTAGTGAAGAAAATACACATTTGGCCTTTGGTGGGGGACAGGGGAACAAATCTTAGACTGGTTCCACCATTTTTTAACCAGTCTATGTGTGCCTATCTTCTGTTCTGTTACAGGTATCAACTAATTTCCAATCACTTATACTGGTAAAAGTGTAATGTCTGTACCTAGCCTCAGACTCCTAGTTTGGGCTCTGGTCTCCCTTGCCTTAGAGGAAAGTATTTTCCTTTACCAAACACAAATTACTTCACTCTTCAGGTCACCCTCATTCGTTTCTTCTCCTTTTGCACAGGAAGGGGAGTAGCAGTTGTGTGGAAGCAGCTGTCAGCCTGTGCTCTGACCCATGACAGGACAGACATGGAGAGGAGCAATGGGGCAGGCACCTCTAGATAAAACTCATTTCTGTTAACTGTATCCTAACAGTTGATCATGCGTGTGTGTGTGTTCACACACATACACGCTGCCCTGCTGAGATTTAACCCTTGCTTATGTGTAACTCATTCCTTTTTTGGATTTTTATACTTATTTGTGTTTTGTTCTAAACCTTTGCTATTTCATGCTATTTGTGCAATTATTAGCACTAGCATTTTTGCCTCAGACCTGGTGTTTGCCCCTCTTCATTCCTTCCTTCAAGAAATTTCAGATTTTTGGATACTGAACCCCCGTTGGACTTTGACAGTACAGCAGTGATTCTCAACCAAGGTCCTGCAGCACCCTGCAGTGTCATGAAATATTTTTAAGGATGCCACACAGTATGGACACTGTTAGGTGTGCAAACACCTGCACATGATTCACAAGATAAACCCAGAAATTTCAAAAAGGAATCAATAGGGCGCATCTACACAAGATGCTACGTTGCCATAGCAATGACCTATGGTGACATAGCTTGTCACTATAGTGATGTAGCATCAGTGGGCACAAACTATGACACTGATGTTACTGCACAGTAGCAACAAGCTCATTGCTACTGCACAGTAGGGTCAGAAACAACCGATGCACTGCTGGGACTGCACAGTAATGGCGGTTACCACACAGTCGGGGGCATGTGTAGATTTCATAGATTCATAGACATCAGGGCTGGAAGGGACCTTGGAAGATCATCGAGCCCAGCCCCCTGCCCCAGGGGCAGGAAGTCAGCTGGGGTCATAGGATCCCAGAAAGAAAAACATCCAGGTTTCTCTTGAAGGTGTTCAAAGTACGTGCTTGAACCACCTCTGGTAGCAGGCCATTCCAGACCTTGGGGGCTCGGACAGTAAAGAAGTTCTTCCTTATGTCCAGCCTGAAATGGTCTTGCAGGAGTTTATAACCATTCAACCTTGTCATCCCTTGGGGCGCTCTGGTGAACAAACGTTCCCCCAGATCCTGGTGAACACCCCTGATAAACTTACAGGTGGCCATCAGGTTGCACCTGAGCCTGTGCTTTTCTAGGCTGAAAAGTCCCATGGCTCTCAGCCTCTCATCATAAGGTCTGTTTTCCTGACCTCTGATCATGCGCGTGGCTCTTCTCTGGACTCTCTCGAGCTTCTCCACATCCTTCTTGAATTGTGGAGCCCAAAACTGGATGCAGTACTCCAGCAGCAGCCTCACCAAGGCCGAGTACAATGGGGGAACGATGTCCTGGGATTTGCTTGAGAAGCATCTATGGATGCAAGCTAAGGTTTTGCTCGCTTTACTTGCTGCAGCATCACATTGCAGGCTCATGTTCATCTTGTGGTCTATCCTGACCCCCAAGTCCATCTCATCCGTAGTGCTAGCCAGCATAGCACTGCCGAGCCTAAAGACATGCTGCAGGTTTTTCCTCCCAAGGTGGAGAACCTTGCATTTTTCAGTGTTAAACACCATCAGGTTCTCGTCCACCCATTTCCTGAGCCTGTCAAGATCAGCCTGGATTATTCCCCTGTCCTCAGGTGTGGATGCTTTACCCCAGAGTTTGATATCATCGGTGAACTTAGCCAGTCTGCTTCTGACTCCAATGTCTACATCACTAATGAAGAGGTTGAATAAAATAGGTCCAAGGACAGAACCTTGAGGGACCCCACTGGTCACAGGGCACCGTAACAATTGACTCCCGTCAAGCACCACCCTCTGGGTCTGACCACGGAGCCAGTTCCCCAGCCAGTGGATTGTGGTGGACCCCAGGCTTTTTAAAGTCAAGATATATGACATTAATCTCTTCCCCCTTGTCCAGGTGATAAATCACCTGGTCATAAAAGGAAGTGAGATTGGTCAAGCACTATCTACCCGCAACACACCCATGCTGACTATCCCTCAGGATATTGGCATTGGCC